AAGGAACAATTCTGGACAGAGGGATGGAGCTGCAGCCACAGCTACACATTCTGGGCCATCAACAAAATCCTATTACTGAGCAACTCCCAGGAGAGGCCTCAGTCCTTGGAAGCAGCTATTCCAAGGGCACATGGGGGCTGCCTAGATGGGCATTTTGCTTGTGACTGCTGATGTCAGTGATCTGGGCAAGACATTCTCTGTGAGTAGTGGGACTGGCTAGGCCAGAAGCTGGGAGGCCCAGGTAGCAGAGAAAAGATCCCTGGCCTGGGATTCCAAGTCCCTTTCTAGTTCTAGCTGTACCATTAACTGGCAGCTCACTTGGACAAATGCCTGCCCTTCTGGGCCTCAGTTTCCTCAGTTGCTCAGCATAAGGTTTGATCTAGATACTTATGACGCCATCTGACTGCCTGCTTCCTGCCCACAGGTGCCCATCTGCGGCAACCAGCCAGAAGCCAAACGTGCTATCTCAGAGATGGCACACGCCATGGGCTTCATGCCCATGGACATGGGATCCCTGGTTTTGGCCCGGGAGGTGGAGGCCATCCCCTTGCGCCTCCTCCCAGGCTGGAAGGTGCCCACCCTCCTGGCCCTGGGGCTGTTCATCTGCTTCTATGCCTACAACTTCATCCGGGACGTGCTGCAGCCCTATGTACAGGAGGGCAAGAACAAGTTCTACAAGCTGCCGTTGTCCGTGGTCAACACCACGCTGCCATGCGTGGCCTACGTGCTGCTGTCGCTGGTGTACCTGCCCGGTGTGCTGGCAGCCGCCCTGCAGCTGTGGCGTGGCACCAAGTACCGTCGCTTCCCTGACTGGCTGGACCACTGGTTACAGCACCGCAAGCAGATCGGGCTGCTCAGCTTCTTCTGTGCCTCCCTGCATGCGCTCTACAGCTTCTGCGCGCCAGTGGGCCGTGCCCATCGCTACGAACTGGTCAACCTGGCTGTCAAGCAGGTACCTCCCCATGCCACCCACCCTCCCTGAGCCAGGTGCTATGGGAAACCCTGTGTGCACCTGGGCCAGTTTGTGTGCTAAGGCACAAAGGAAAGCAGGAGAGGGCAATGGGGGTGCGGCTAGAGCTGTCAGGGGAGACCTTGCTGAGCAGGTGGGATGTGAGCAGAGGTGGGAAGGAAGAGAGAGGGTCAGGGAGCCAGCCCGAATAGTGTTGCAGGCTAGGGGGCAATGGGAGCAGAGTTCTTGGGAAGGGGTGCAGGGAAGCATGCCTGGCATGTTGGAGGAGCAGCCAGGAGGCCCATGTGGCTAAAGCCCACAATGGAACGGCAGGAGAGACTTGAAAGGCCAAAGCCAGACTGGGTGGTGGGGAAGGTCTTGAAGGCCAGGAAGGGCTTTGGCCTGGGGCTCTGAGTGATGCAGGAAGCCATGAAAGGTTTTGAGTGGAGGGATGATCCACACGATGTTTTAACTGGCTTATTCCAACTGCTGGGCCAAGAGCAGACAATGGGCACCAGAGGCAGCTGCTGGGACCCCTGAGGAGGCTGTGCACTCCCAGATGCCAGGCAGCGAGGCTGGGAGGGGGTCGGGACAGCAAAGGGGCAGGGCAGCCCTGGAGGACAGAGAAGTGCTGACGTCGTAGTGGGCCAGGGGTGTGAGTGATCAAGGATGACTGTGAGGTTTTTGTCTAAACTCCTGGAAACGTGGAGTTGCCGTCACCTGAGGTGGGGAAGCCTGCACCAGTGAGGGTTTCTGGGTTCGAGGTTTTTTATTTGGGGTTGCTATTGTTCATTCATTTAGAAAACCTATATGGTGCTCCTTTGCCACCAGGATTCCTGGGAGCGGGAGGGGATTCATGCCAGGCCAGGTAGGGATGGGGGTGTTAGCTGGACCGAGTACTCACAGAAACAGAATCCTGGTGCTGCGTCCTAGTCCACAAGCTCACAAGCTTTGTGTCCTAAGCTCAGGACAACACTGCAAGCAACACTGCTTTTCTATTTTCCCTAACTTACTTAATTCCACCTCTAGGCCCAGCCCCTGGGCTGGTTGATACATGGTTGCATGGGTCCTGACCACTGCAAGATGCTAGTTGTCCAATGGAGTTTGGCCCAGGTGCCAATAATACACTTCTCATCCACTCCCTTATTTCAGCCCAGGTCACCCCTCCAGCTCTTATTTCTGCTCAGGCTGCAAAGACCTAGTGATCTCCCTGGTGGGCATATCTCCCATGGGCCCATCACCTCAGAGAATGGGGGACTAGGAGGCCTGGGAAGTGAGACTGCATGCCTCCTGGGAACAGACGTCAGCCCGTCCCTACTCACTCCCTGCTGGCAGCTTCCCAGCTGCCCTCATCCTTCCCCACCCACAGACACCTGGCATCATTGCATCTGTGGGCTCAGACTCTCGTCAGAGAAGGGAAGAATCCCAGACTTCAGGCAGAGAAGCGAGATGCCTGATGGAATTGAGAGGAAGGGAGAAAAATAATAGTCATGAACTCTTAAAAAGAGCTTGCTGTGTTCCAGCTACTGTTCTAAGAGCTATCCATACCTACTGTGAATTCATTTAACCTCTAGCTCATCCTTTTAAGGCAAGTGCTGTTCTATTCTTATTTTACAGATGAGAGAACTGAGGCACAGAGAGGTTAAGTAATTTGACAAATGTCACACAGCCAATAAGGAGCAGAGCTGGGATTTAGACCCAGCTGTTCTTCAGATCCATGCTAGTACCCACACTGTTTTCTGCAGAGAAAACAAATCTGAATTAATAGTTGAATAAATGATCTCAGAATTCATGTCATTCATTCACTCATTAACTGAGCACCTTCTGTGCCAGGCCCTGGGGCCACAGATAAGAATAAGACAGACACAGTCTTGTTCATTGCCTCAGCTGGTGTGAGGCAGCATAGAGGCCTTACTCTATACCACCTGGCAGAGTATGGCCAGAGCTCTGGGCACGCGTCCTCCAGCATCATTGCTTAGAACAGTGGTTCTCAACCTTCCTAATGCCACGGCCCTTTAATACAGTTCCTGTGGGTTGCGACCCACAGGTTGAGAACCGCTGGCTTAGAACAAAGGCCTGACCCTGAGCAAGTTACAGCTCCTCTTTTGTCCTTAGGGCCCTGAAGTGTAGATCAAGGTCTCTCCTAGTGCTAATATTTTTGATGCTATTTGATATTTTCTTACTTTTTAAAAAAGCCAGACCCCTGAGCAGGAGGTTCTGCAAGCCTCCTCAGGTACATTTTGCTGCACAGGAGGTGGCAGATCTGAGCGTGTGGGAGCCCCTCTCCTCTGAGTTGGCAGGTGTCTCAGATAGTGGTGAGGAAGAAACCCCCTCCCACTCAGACCACAAGCAAGCCACCACGCCCTCCCTTCCTGGCCACCCTCTGACTGCCTCTCTCTAAATTCTCTACCCTGCTAGGCTCTCCTTGATACTGTGTTAACACAACTTCTCTTGGAGGGGTGCATGCAAGGTCATCCTCCTCCATGTTTCAAAGCCCTGTGGGGCTGCAGACCCTGGTAAGGTTGCCAGGCAACCATCCCTCCCACAGGACAGGATGGCTCTCAGAGACACCCAAGGCCTTTCAGGCAAAGGGCTTAAACTTGCCTACAGAGTTCTCAAGGGCAGAGCCAAGGCTGATGTGGGTATGTCTGGATTGGAGGGGCCCAGAAGTGGGGAATTGTCCAATCCTGGAGACAATGCAGCAGATGCTGGTGAGTCTGGGGGCAACCATGCACCGAGGCTGTTCTGCATTCAGTAGTCCTGGCCCAGTGCCTCCAGAAGCAGGCCCTGCCTGCTGTATGGTTTTCCCTGACTGCCTATGGGCACCTCATCACAGCATCCCCACGTGGTCACTCCCCACCCCGCTGCCCACTGGGCCCTATCGGTAAAGCAGCATACTGGCCAAGAAATGCCTTCTCTAAGATTTCCTTAAAGCTGCTGAGATTCTGCAGATTTAGAAGCAAAGCTAGATCCCAGTTGTGGAGAAAATCTTTGAAACCACATATACTGACAATATTAGGACCAACAATAACTGATATTTGCAAAGCACTTTCTGATTTGCTTATGTGTTTCCCTTAGGATGCATTTCAAGATCAAAATCAAAGATCAAGTTGAAAGACAATGTTTAACCTGCACTCTGATTTCCTATTTCCCTCACCTCAGACTAAATCAAAAGTTGTCTGTCAAAAAACAATCTAAAACTCTCATCTGACCCTGCCACTGCTGAAAACCATCCAGTGACTCCCCACTGTCCTTGGGATAATGGTAGACCCTTATCGATACGACCACATCCACATTCCCTTCCCAACCTCATATCCCCGACTTCTCCTGGGACATGTCACTCTTAGGTCCCATATTATCCTCTTTTTTTTTTTTTTTGAGACAGAGTCTCACTATGTCACCCTTGGTAGAGTGCCATCACATCATAGCTCACAGAATCCTCCAACTCTTGGGCTTAAGAGATTCTCTTGCCTCAGCCTCCCAAGTAGCTGGGAGGCACCCACCACAATGCTCAGCTATTTTTGTTGTTGTTGTTGTAATTGTCATTGTTTGGCAGGCCCAGGCTGCCAGCTCTGGTGTATGTGGCTGGCACCCTTGCTGCTGAGCTACTGGTATGGAGCCCATATTATCCTCTAAATGGGCAGAGCTCATTCCTCTTGGCCCAGAATACCCATCCTGGGACACCTTGACAGCCTGGCACATGCCTATTCCTCCTCCAAAACCCTACCTCTATCTCCCATAAAACCAGGAGATTGGATAAATAATAAATAGAAAAGAAAACCTACCTCTGATAAGCTACCCCAGCCTATCCCCCCACTTCCCCCTACACCCCTCTGTAATCTGTTGTATTTTGCACATACTCTTATTCTTCTTACACACCACTTCATACCCAACTCAAAGTTCCATGACTGGGTCTTCCACACCTTGAGGTCCAGGGCTCCTAACCCAGATTACCAGTGCACACTCACTGAGTGACTGATGGTTAAGTTGGTCACCATGCAGCCAATGGCAGGCATCTAAGAGGCATACTTGTCGAGGGAGCTTGGGGCAAGAACCAATCTAACAGCCACTAAGAACAAGAGCACCAGCTGTTTATTATACTAAGCACTTCCTGTGTGCCAGTCACATGCCACTCATTTCACCACCATCCTCTTAGTCCTGCAGTAACACAGCAGGAGAGAGACAGTGATGCTATTGGCAGGGAAAGGGACTGCCCAGGATCTCGTGACGCTGCCCCACTGGCAGAGTCAGTGTCAGAATCCAGGCCTACGGGACTGGAGTAGGGTCTCTCCACCACCCACCCAGGCTGCCCCTGCCAGACCCTGCCGCCTTCTCCCCCTCTGGGTCTGGTAGGCAGTGGGTAGGCACCACTCTCTTCCCACCCACTGCCTGCCATGGGCAGAGAAAAGGGCCACTGCAGCAGCCTCACCAGTCCTAGTGTCTAGCCCTCAGCCTGAAGGGAAATCATGACCCGAGTGCCATCTTTCCGTCTCTTGTTGACCACTCTTCTTTGTGTTCTCTATGTGGCCAATTTGAGCAGCTCTAAACATGGGGGATTAGGAGGAGAATGGAGAGTTATTAAATCTCCTTTCTGATTAGCCGTGTGTGGCACTGGTCACCAGGAGCTCTGAGCACAGTGCTGGGGTTGGGTAGGTCAGGTGAGACTCTCAGGATGTTTGCCGTGGCCGAGGTCCAGGTCCTCACCATCCGCTGCTTCCCTGCCTACCTCATCCCTCCCTTCCCAGCGTCACTGCGGAGTGGAAATATGAGAGGAAAAAAACAAGACATTTTGCAAGCAAATGTGGTATACGTATGTAATCATCCAAACTCTGACTTGTGACATTAACTGCCTGATCTTACCAAGACGCGGAAAGGAATGACTAATGAAGTATAGTTGAAGAACAAACAACTTGCAATGAAGAGATGAGTTATTCAGGAGCGGTTGTTGACACTGCGAGGTGTGAGTAAGACTTCTTTGAGCAGAGCTACACAGGAGACCTCTCTGCCCTTTGCACGCCTACCAAGCTAATGCTGACTGCAGCCACAGCAGGCCACAGGCACAATCGCAGAATCCGAGACATGCCCTCATCCACCCCTCTCAGGTAGAGAAACTGAGGCCCAGAGACAGAGTTGCCCAGAGTCACACACAACTGGGGAGTCCCCAGGTTCCTGGCCCTTTTGTGGCTAAAGGCACCAAAGTGAACCAGCCTGGCCTAAAATAGAACAGAGGCTTTTTTATTTTTCCCAAACAGCAGGAAGAGTACCTAATGGGTAGGATTTTTCTGTTTCTTTAAACTTTTTCTCAAAAGCTTTTCAACCATTTTTGCTCAGACTGCTGGATTCATTTTTGTAATAATATTTTATCTGGTAACTAGGCTTATTATTTTTTTTTTCCTGCTGAAGCTGTTTCTCAAAAACCCTGCATGAGTCATTCTGTTTTGAGAGGCAGAGACCTGCCTACTAAAGCGTAGTCACATTTCAATGGAAATACTGTTCCATGTTCTGCCGGTAGAATTAAAGGACCAGCATTTCACGGCATTTCTCAGAGCACACCTTGACTTCCAGGAACTCTGCTACCTGGTCTGGCTGAGAAATGACGGTTCTAATGGGAGGACCTTGTTCGGTGTGAGTGGCTGTCAGCCAGACTGGGGGGGCTCCCCTGCAAGTGCTCTCCAGGTGGGCAGGTAGGAATCTCTGGGCTCACAGGGCTCTCCGATTTATGCATCCCAGAGCTTGGTGTGGGACCCCAGAGCTCCTTGAAGTCAGGAGTCCTATTTTCTGCAGCCCAGCACTTGGCACACAGTAGGTGCTTCCTAAGTGCTCAGGTACTTACTGACCTGCTTGGTGATTGGCTGTCAGTCTCTGTCACTTGGCAAAGTTAAGCCAAAGCTATATACAGAGATGGAGAACTGAGTAGGAAGAGGGGACTGTGGGGCTTCAAGTCAGGAAATATTTGGGGTCAGGGTCTGTGTGAGTCTTTGTGTGTCCTGAGTATAAACCAGTGACAGGGGACAGCTTGTGAGACCAGGAAGACAGGGGGTTCAGGGGGAGGCAGGCTAGGAGAAGCAGCTATCAGAGGCATGAGCCCATCCAGCCAAGGGCCTCCAGAGCTGGGATAGCTCCTCTCTCCTGTCCTGGGATTCAGGGGCCAGGAACGGTGTGATGTTGTCGTACCTAGAGAATCTGTACTTGTTGACTTCCCTGACTTCTTACTCTCCGCTGACACGCCCATTCAGGTTGGCTGGCTCCTGGGCAGATGTGTGTAAAAGCCCTGGGAGCCAAGTTTTGGGAGCCAGACTGTGCAGATGCTGAGCCCAGCTGCGCATCTGCGTGACCTTGGGAAGGTGACTCGATCTTTGTGCCTAGGTTTCCTCATCAAGAAAATGAGATAATCTCTACTTCATGAGGTGGTTGTGAAGATTCATGAGTTATTGGCTGCAAGCGCTCATCACAGAGCCAGGCACATGTTACGTAGGCAGTGAATGTCAGCTGGCGCCTTCTTGCTCGCGTTGAAGCATCTGCTTGCCCACCTGTGAGGGCACCAGCCTTTGCCACAGTGTTCATGGTTTTCCTTTATCCATATCAGGTCTTGGCCAACAAGAGCCGCCTGTGGGTGGAGGAGGAAGTCTGGAGGATGGAGATTTACCTCTCTGTGGGAGTGCTGGCCCTTGGCACGCTGTCCCTGCTGGCTGTCACCTCGCTGCCATCCATTGCAAACTCACTCAACTGGAGGGAGTTCACCTTCGTTCAGGTAAAGTACGTCTCTCCTCTGCTAGTGAGTCTCAGCTTGGCCTAGGCTCACCTCACACAAGCAAGTGCCTTCCCCTCCAGGAACTGCCTTAGCTTTGATCATCCACACAGCAAGTCTGTCCTGTCACATGCCAGGACCTTCCCAACCTGGAGGGCCCATCTAAGCCCTCTGGACAAGCTTATTTATTCTCCAGACATCCAGGGAAGCCAGATATGGGCATGTGAAAAAATGAGAGACTAGAGCACTGAACTCCCAAACGTTCTCAGCTTCTACAGTTCTTAGGCTTCCCAAGCAAAATTCCATGACATGCACTTACTGGGCATCTTGCTGGCCTAGGTAGGAGTCAGTGAGCTAACTAGTGAGCCTAGCCTACCACCTCTCACCCTCATCTCAGCCCTGTTGTTCCCTTAAACCCTGTGATTTATGGCTCAGCGCCCATAGCATAATGGTTACAGTGTCAGTCACATATACCAAGGCTGGAGGGTTCGAATCCAGCCCGGACCAGCTAAACAACAATGACAACTGCAACAAAAAAAATAGCCGGGTGTTGTGGTGGACACTTGTAGTCCCAGCTATTTGGGAGACTGAGGCAAGAGGATCGCTTAAGCCCAGGAGTTTGAAGTTGCTGTCAGCTGTGATGCCAC